GAGAGAGAGAGAGAGAGAAAGAAAACAAAAAAAAAAACGAGAAGAATGGAGACCGCATTCACAACAGGTCATTAGGACAGGAGTGAAACTGCTTCGTTTTCCGGCAAACCTGGTAGTGATTCCTGATTACTCAGGCTTCTGTACTAACATGCCCCCATCAGGGGGCAATTCTTGCGCGTCATTGACCCTCGGATCCGGCCTCGCTCAGCAAGCGATGCTCCCTGAATGTCATTACTTTGGGCTCGAGGTTGAGGATTTAGGATTTGGAGCGGATCACTAAGTCTTAACGGGTGCAAGCTTCAGACCTTTCTCAGAAGGACACGTCTTCAAACAGCCCTGGCTGCAAGAATCTCTCCAAACAGCCCTCGCCAAAATAACTTGCCCAAACCACGCAGCAGCTGCTAAGCATTGTCGCCGCAAAGACTTAAAGACCGTACAGGAACACTCCCTGGGAGTGCGCTTGCTACACGTGGCCACGCTGGGCTCATTCTTTCATCCGAACCAATGCCGAAATTGCAGCTCACCGGGACACACGTGCTGGCCCCATACTGTAGGGATCAACGAATCCTTTCCAAAATTTCTGCTGAATGCCTTTTCTTTGGGGCAATTTGCGGGGTTTTCCAACTTATGGGCCCATGTTTGCTGGGCTGTTAGAGGAAGGATCCTCGCATCTGCGGGGGAACATCTGTAGGGGAAAAGGACGAGGCAATGTCTACAATCTTGAACAGTCTCTCCCAGAATGAGCCCAGGAGAAAACGGGTGACTCTGACTATGCAAAACATTCATTTTGGTCTCATGACCAGTTCGTCGGCCGGAGAAATTCAGGGCTTCTCAGGGTGTTCTGGATTTGATTGGGGGCGACCCATGACGAGATCTGTGTATGTATACATATCCCTTTAGGAATGCTATCTGGATTTCGAGTTGTTTCTCATTGAAATGTGCAAAAGTTGTGTTCTCCATTGGGGGTTCCTAGTTGCTTGGTCCTACAGAGTTGAGAGGTACATGGAGATCCTGTCTCAGGACACATCCGGGTTTTATATAAAGCGGCCTAAACAGATCTTTTGCCCAATCAACCACTCAAACCCGCAAGATCCCAAGTGACAGACACAGCCCCCAAGGACAGACACACAGGCTACACTCATCTGGGAAGATCCTCTTTTGGGCCCTCACTCCCGGAACATAGATTGTCCATCGACAGCCGTAAAACTTGAAGACCCTCATACCCCAAAAAGCTACAGTTTAAAGTCTGAGGTTGAGAAGCCCCAGTCAGGCCTGTGAAAATCTGTTTCACAAGAAGTTACTGCGCTGGAAGGTCTTCGACTGCTACAGGAGTACAGCACCCCATCTCAACTCTCGGTGTTTACTCTAAGGGATTTGGAACCCCAGTAGAAATTATAATTTCAGCTGCATATTAGGATTGTTGGCAACAGAAATGAATATGTATTTTCAGGAACCTTGTAGTTTAGCTAGCGCTACCTTTAGGCATGTGACTCCTTTTGGGGTATAGGGTACCATTTTTTTTCAACACCGAGTTTTTGTTTGGGATTTGAAAAACCTAAACACTGTTTTCAAGCTACCCAGTTGGACGTTATTGTCACTATCTATGAGTGTCATGGGCTCAACCCTGATTTAGTCCGTATTCGTTTTATGGTGGCACTGCTAGTAAAATGCTTCTCAAAGGAGGATACTTAAACGCACGGACTCTAGGTATGTCTATCATGAGGAGATCACGGGAGTGCCTCGACAATTTTACAGGTTTTACTTGATTCTTTTGACAAATCTCATTGCAGAATGCAGTTCACGTAACTACTGCTTAAACTAAGAGCCTCAGGCTGCGAAGCCCAATTTCTAGCCAAACTCAAGCCCAAACCCAAGTATTCTGAGCCTCAGTGCAAAGAACATGAGATATTCGCCCATTATAGCAGTTTCCATTTTATTTTCCATTATCCCTATATAGCCCCAATATACACCCTAATACAAACCTCCTCAATAACGTGTCTGGCTGTGAGAGTCTCACCAGCTTTGGGCTCTCACGATGAGGACTTCATAGGATTTTGGGTTGGGCGGTCGTGTAGCCGGAAGCTTCGGCCCTGAGATGTTTTGATTTGAGAGGTCTTGGCCGCTGAGAATCTGAGTTCTGGGAACTTCGGCTTCTCAAATTCAGAAGCTCCTGGTAATTAGACCCTATAGCTCAATGTAAGAACCCAAAAGCCAAGTATTCAGGCGTCTACGCTCATCACCACAGACATCCAGCGCAGTTTTTGCAACGTTGAGGGTATTCCCAATGGCCGGAAGGGGCTCAGAGGGAGAAGCCCGTCTGCTCGCTCTTCAATACAGGATGCTCCTCCACTGCTGGCTTGCTGTCCTCCAGGTTTGCTCCCATTCTGACGGTCTGCACATTAGGATCAGAGTCCTGGATTTGGGGATTTAAGGGATTTGGGGCTGGGTGCGCGGCCTCTCCACAGGCGTTTTTCTATATCACCCCAGCATGCTAGGATTACAAGAAACTTCCAAAAAAACACTCATCCTGCTGTCGTGGCCACGGATAAGATGTTTCCTGAAATTCTGGGCCCCTTCTTGCCATGAAGGACACAACCTGTGGCTCAAGGGCACATAACCTTGCCAGCAAAGCATCATTGCAGATCTATACTTCAAACCTGCGTCCTAGGTAGAATGGAAGGATTGTTTCAGGCTTTCCGGTATCCTTTGACCGCGGGTACTTAACCTCCTGGATTACCTGAAAAGGGCCTCTCAAGCGCTAGAGTAAGGGTTCAGGGTTGCAAGCTTGACAGTTGAAGTTTTGGTTCTGGATCCGCGGAGGCTCTCGCCGTCAGCACCCTCAGCGCTACATAGTACAAGTTGGCGCCCCAAATCACCCCACGCAGGCCAAAGGCACCCCACCGCCCTTGGACGCGCTGGTCAGCAAAAAGCACCCCACATAGGCAGAAGCCACACCACGGGCTTCAAATCCCAATATAGATGCCCTTGCCACATCTTGCGTTTTAATGTTAACTGAGAGAAGCTACAAAGCGGCTTCTGATCCGAAAACAGACCCTTGACTTTCAGGAACTACATCAGACGATGTGACTTCATGAAGGCAGGCCCCCACCCCCTCCCATGCCTCTGCTGGAGCCTCCACTGTCTCCTCCTTGGACTCCTGCACCTTGTGGTCAGCTGAGGACTGCAAAGTCATAGGTCGAGTAGAATGGGTTTTGGAGTAGTATATTGTACTGTTACAGCTATGCAAAGATTGCCATGGAATACCATAGTAGGCAATTTGTCACACTTGGCGAGTAGCACTGCAGACATATCTTTGTCAAAAAACATGCAAAAACACGGGGTCACTGTAAGCTTTGTCAGGGGCATCATGTTGGGGATTTACAGAGTAGTTTGGGTGATTGCATGGATGGTTTCAGGGGTTCAAGATATTCAGGAATGTGTGAATTCTGGGATCTAAGCTGTTGGACCTAGAGGCTAATGAAGGGTCTGTATGCATTTGTACCAAGACTCCAAGACCTGCAGAGATTGAATTGCCCTCAGCCTCTACTAGGCGGGAAGGCTTAAGATACCCCAGGCCCACGCGCAGAACCCTTGACCTTAGCAGTCGTAAAGACTGTGCTGGGCTTGGGATTGTGCTTCAGATTTAGACAACAAATGCCTTTCATGTATAGCCTACAGCCAGGACCCATACATACAAAACCTCCATCCCCAAGGCGTACTTGGGTGTACGGTACTGCTGCTGCTGCCGCCACCACCACCACCACCACCACAACAACATCACCAAGCTAGGCTTTCCATGACGGCAGCCGTAAGCTCACATGTGACACGTCACCTTCGCCGGCTCGAGGTTCAAGATGTCCGGCTGCTGAGGCAGCGGCTCCTTGCTCACGTGCTATTACAAGACTTTCTGAGCTGGTTTTCCATGGCTACATCGAAATTAGGTAGGGTGAAGCTTGAGCATCATGGGCTCATGCTTGACCGTGTTTGGTCCAGCTGCGGCAAATGAATCCTCCATCGGTCTTCATGCTCTTCGCACTTCGCACATTTTGCCGAGGTAGTTGCATTTAGGCTAATCTACTTCAAGGCTGAGGGTCGGCTAGAGTCGTTTGAAACTTGTGGCGTCCTGCTAGGGAGATGCTGAATTTCAGGCCGAACGCTTACATCGGTCTTCGGGGCCTTCAGCATCTACCTTGAAACCTTTCCTGCCCCAAGCCCTACACCTTAGTCATTTTATTCCCCTCTTGAAGCCCTCATATTTCTTCAATTATGTGCACCCCACCTCCTCCTGATCGTCATCATCAGGGTGGCCATCCAACAGCGAAAGCTCTTCCGCCGTGAAGATCCACCGCAGGAACTGGCCAGCGGGTGGCAGTACTAACAATAGGTAAGAACAACATAAATTCCTTCAAGCAGACATGTGAACAGCAATGTCTAGGCAGTCAAGGCTAGGCTCTAGCCTCACAGATCATATGGTTCGGGACTCCTGGGTTTTGGGCATGAACAGCGCATGGCTTACGTTCGAGAGGTCAAGGGTCTCAAGGTTTGGAGCTTGGAGTCGAAAAAGTCAGGAGAATGGGAGCAGTCAGCTTCGGGCACGAGAGTTTTGAAGTTACACATGGTCCAATGGTACTTGGCTGTGCTACTTCGACAGAGTAGCTTCAACAAACCCATGTGCAGGAGTTCTACGACCCACGAGCCTCTCAGAAAACCCTGCCCAGAAAGTTGCCCATGACTTTGGGAATGTTTCCTCCCCACTCATTAACCCTTATGCGTCTTCCTGTCGTCCTACTGCATCTCAGGCACCTTGCGGATGACGGCCAGAGAAGCCATGAAGAAGGGGAACACGACAGCTGTCTCCTTGTGTGAAGCAGGCTGATGAACGGTCTGGGAATTCAAGCGTGGGGTGGCCAGAGCTCCCAGCGTGGAATTCTAGGTTCCTGTCTGCTTCTGCTCAAAGTTTTGATGGAAACAAAGTTTGAGGTTGTAAGCGTCTATTGCCCAGGACTTCGGACTGAGTGCTTGCGACCGTTCATGCAGTATAGGACCGAAAATTCTGGGAGCATGATATTGAGGAGACTAGGCACGCCTTTTTGACAACGGGTTGCCGCCAGGTCGATACAATAACTTTGAAGTTTACAGCGCTTCGCTCTGCTGGGCTGCGGATGTTCAGGTTTGTGTGCCATGAAGTCTTGAGGAGTATGCCTACGTCTCAAAAAACGATGGAACAGAACATCGAAACCTTCGCGTCAACCCCATCATCGCTGCTTACAGTAATCCCTGCAAAGATCTACAAGATTCCCAGAAGCACTGCATGCGCGAGCATCCGCTATTCGACACCTTATACCGACCACTCCACGTGCAAAGAAACAAGGAAGAGAAAGGATCTGAGGGATCAGGATCTTCCTATCAAAGGTTGACATAACTCCGCATGCTGCTGTGTATGCGACGATGGGGCGGTGCGATTCGATGCATGTATTCAGTCAGGCTTGCGACCGGTAGTGTCAAACATCCATCTGCTGAATATCAGCTGCTGCAGTTTGATTTTTGGCGGGATGGAGCTTAGTCCGTAAGCCGTGAGGCATTGGTAGTGCAGCCCTAGCGGTGCGAAGCAACAACAACCTCCAACAGCACGCACCTCAACAAACAGGCTTTCAAGATTTGATGGCTTCTAGGAGTATGCTGTTTCAGAAATAATCTTAAAATCTGTCGATGTAAGCTTTGCGTGGATTATGGCCAGTACAACCTGACTAGGTAATCCCTTGGGACAAATACCCACTGAGAGCCCTGAACCCTGTCCTTGATCTCTTTCAGCCCGTAGAGGATGGCAAGGCAGATGAACTGCGAAAAAAAAATGATCTTGAGGAACTGCGTGGTGGTAAGTAACTTTCATGGATTTCTGGGTCAGAACTCAGAGCTTAGGATTTCATCAGGGGCTCCTCAGAGTGGGAATACCTTCGGCAACGCCATGCATGTATAGGGATTGCGAGGCCCCTCGGGTTGCATTGTAAGATTTTGAGAAGCTGAAATGTAGACCCGCACACAAGGAATGACCAGTTCTTGAGAGTTCATCCGTAACCAATGACGGATCTGGCACATCTCAGGCCCGTTGATGAAAATCCCTTGATTGTTGGCTTAATGGGGTAACTTTAGCCCACCCAAACACAGATCTCTGATCTGGTGGCGCGTAGTTTACGACTTTGCCTCTGGGTTTCCTTCAGAGCTGGCCTGGATGAAGGTGTAGAGGTGGACTCGCGCAATGGGCAGCTTCTGGATGTAGTGATACCTTAGAAGCTGCTGGCCACACTGCTCTTCGTACTACGACTTCTTTACCTATAGGGTACTCTCAGGGCCAAGTACGGTAAATGCAGGTCGTGAAGGGATTACGGGGTCCCTTCGAGCGCTATATACGATATGCAAGAAACTTGCCAGCTAAGGTCCGAGGTTCTGCGGGTACTTCGTCGAGTCCCAGATCAGCCACAAAAACCTCAGTAAGGCTTGCTGAGTGTGAGTTTGGATATGAGCAAGACATGCATTTTTGGACGGGGTCGGCACTTGACTAAACCCCGTAATCCAGAAACCATCCAACCCACTGAACCTAAAAGGGCCCGTTCACATAGATGTGCAAGGACCATCCCCTGTGGCTGCAAGAAGAGCAGCATGCGGTCAAACAAGGAATTGCCCGTCAATGAAGCGATGCCCATGTAGAAGAAGACCTTTGGGTTCAACGAGGCTGTGCATGAATCTCAAAACAGCTAGGTTGGGCCATGGGCTTGCTGATGCTGGCTATGCTCATAATAACACCATTCAGGTCTAGAGTGCAGACTTTGGGGTTTCAATCATTGGCTTCTCTGGTTTGGCGCCAGCATCGCATGCTTGCACGATGAACCATTGTTCTCTCAGATTGCTATTGATCGGGCTACTGCTTGCATTTGTACGCTACAGTTCTGCTTGCGCCCAAACCATGACAAGTAGTTGCCCGTGCACCTCCCACCCAAATCACAAGTGGATCTCCAAACTGTAACTTCTATACATGCCCACGACTCCAAGCCATAGCAGTACAGTACAGGGCACTACTTTGCCGGACACTTCACCCACGAACGAACAATGACAAAGATTGTCGTCAAGAATCCACTCGAAAAACACAGACCCTGCTTTCATCCAGTCAACGCAAGCCTCCAAACCCGGAATCCTCAACAACACAATTCCCAGGATGCTCTTGCATTCAGGCCATGATCAAACAGCAGGATTTACTTCTGCATCCACAAAAATGAAAGGATCCCCACGACAGTTAAAGAACAGACAGGACCTCTTGCGTTGTTGAGAAGACTCCGCTCGCAAGAAAACCTTGACATGTCAAATACAAAGGTCGAAAGAACCCCACAGACTTACCCAAAGACTCCTAAGGATTCACAACCCCTTTCCGTTACAAGATCGAGCTGCACCCTGCAGCACAGCTTGAGGCAGGAACTTCCTTGAAACACAAGGTTCCATTTAAGCGGACTCTCAGAATTGTGGATAAATCTTGGCCGGGTCCCTCTTGAAGTACTCTAGTATTTGAGGATATAGAAATCATTGTGTTGAGCAACATTCACATTCTGCGTCGTGGGAAAGTATGTGTGACGACATGATCTGTGACGACATAAATGACGGTGGAGATTTGTGATTTATGAAACCTGCAAGAATCCATCCATACTCTACACTACTTCACTAGGGCGTCTCTGCAAATGACATGGGGATTTATCCGCAACCTTTTCTGGTGGGCGTTCCTGAAAGAAGCGGTATACAGGAGAACCGTATACGCAAGCGTGAACCACACAAAAGGATTGACGGAGCAGAGAGTTGTGTGGGCCTGGGTCTGTTGGTCTGGGCTTGAGAGCTTGAGCTACTCTGAGGTTTAGGTGGCTAAATTCTGGTCTGCATTTTTCGCTTGGGCTTTAGGGAAAAAAGGGCCTGTTGTTTGGGGCTTCTGTTTTGGCATGAGGACTTGCGGGAAAGTCATGAATGGGAATCATTTTAACCTCTCAGAAGGTAGAGTGGAAGACATACAACGACTGGTTGCGGGGGTTTTGAGCTTGCGGTTCTTGGGATAATGCTCCTGGGATGATGACAATCCTCTGCGAGGCGGATTTGACCGAAGGAGCTATTGCATTGTATCTAACGGCTGCCGTAATGGCTTCAAAGGACTGCTTCCAGCAGAAGGGACCGGAACAACAGGACGAGGGGCCGGCCCTCTTGCTATTTCAAATTTTGGGAGGCCGCAGCAATCTGGGATAGCAGCACGGACATGCTGAATCTTATTCTTGAACCCAGACAACCTACCCGCCAAGGCCACAAACATTCAAGCACCAGCTAGACCGACGAGATTCAGAGCCGGGGCCATGAACAGAGCACAGCCGATGAGGACATGGATCCTAAGGGCGATGGCAGTTATATGGAGGAGGGAGAGAGGTCTTGAGGGAGTGGGGAATTGGGTTCATACACGTGCTTCAGTCTTGAGTCCAGAGTTCGGGCATTAGGGTGAAGTAATATTCTGATCATCATGAGAAGGCCCAGAACACGCAACTTCACAAGGTTGTTGGCAAGCAGTCGTGTCAAGGGTGTGCAAGGCTCGGATCGCGGATTGAGGCGTTTGGGGAGTTGTGGACTTAGTCGTAGATTGGGCTGAAGCCGGCCTGTCAAGGGACAACCCCACCTGACACTCTGAGGTGTCTATCTGAATACAGGCCAAGAAGGGGCGAGCTGAGGACTACTGCCTAGGCCGTCCACCCTAATGAACCCTCAAACACAACAGAAGTGCAAGAGGATAACAATCGTGACAAGAATGGCAGCAGGAGGAAAGCAACAATGGCGATAAGGAGGAGCAGGAGGCAAATAATCTGTACTTTAACCCAACACTGCCAAGTCCGATGAGGCGCAAAAAGTTCGTGGCTCGCTGTTCCACCACCTCTCAATTGTCTTGCTGGATTTATGTGCTGTAGCTCTTGTACACATAAAAAATACAGGGGATGAAGAGAGTATATGGCAGGCTCCACATGTTTGGCTTCATCTACTTCAGTATGATGAGAAGATTATGAGCTGAAGCTTTGCAGTTTCAGGCTTTGGGTGAAGAAGCCATGGTGTCGGATTCAACTCCTTTTGCTTCTGTTGAAGGTGCTCAAGATGTAGAATCTTATGGTCTTGGGCAGCTGCTTGAAATCCTTAACCTGCATAAAGCCTCCCTGAGTCCTGGAACGGCCTCCAGAATCGTTGTCTTCTACAGAGTCAGTGTGGAGATTTAATCTTTTGACAGACCATCAGCAAGTGAAGTTTTTCGAGCAAATGCACATCTTGCAGGCCCTACACGCGGAGGCTCCAACAATGCCAGAAACACAGTTGAAGCCTTCTGCCCTCACAGATCAAGCAGACAGAGCCGAAATGATGCGATGGCAAAGTCCCTGACAAACCTCAATCTTCATGAAACCTAAACCTGAATTTGTGCTTCTTTTTCTTCAGTCCTCGAATAGCCAAGCTCTCGCTCCTGACCCCTAGCAGGCTTTGTTCTTGCTCCTTCCAAATTAAACCTCTGCAAGACTCTTTGCAGATGCAAGAAATTCCCAGCATAATGAACCTGAAGCGGGACCCGGAATGTCAGGAAACGTCCAATTGCAAAACCGCACACATTCACTTAATATCCCCATGAAGCGAGCCATGATTTGGACGAACCTAAAACTCCAGGTCCTCGACTCTACGCCCGAAGCCAAAACAGAAATACCATCGTTCTGCGCAAGCTGGCAAATCCCAGCCTTCACAGGCACCTTGCGCTCGCCCTGCGGGAGTTGCTTCACCTTCACCGCTTCGGGTTTGTCGTTTCGCGCTGGACAACGCGCAAGCGGGCTGGGTTCAGGGCTTAGGGCGTTATGTAGGGTGTGGGGAAGCCAGGCACTCAAGGTGTATATCTTGAATTCGCCCCACCCTCCCCTATCTCCGCAGGAATTATGGTGGTATAGTACGCTTTGGGTCACTCCGGATGTTGTCCATTAATCATCCACAACCCATCTCATTCAGTATGCACCTCACCCTTTCAAAAGCAGCTTGCCTCGTAGGTTGTCAGGGAGATGACGTGGGTGATGCTGGGCACCGTGGATGCCACGGCCAAGGGCAATCCGAGCCTGGCGGAGGAGAGCCCCGCAGCGGGAACGCCTCTTTGTTTGCATTAATTCAGACTACGTAGTCCTGACGGCACTGCTTACAAGCAAAGGCCACAGCGGCCACACGAACGGGGAATGTGTGGAGAAGGATTTGGAGAAGGAGAAGATGCAAGCGGTCAAGCTCTCCCCACCATACGTAAGTTCCGTTTTCGAGCAATCCCTTCCCCTAGAACTAAACACCGCCCCACACTAAATATGTCCCCTTATGTATCAGGTCTTATGTAGTGATGATTTCATGTAAGGGGCGAGGAAGATGTTCAGTATAAGGGGGAACTGATCGACCTGAAACACTAAAACGCACTGACCCACACTGTCAACACACATCCACTGAGCCTGCGAAGTCAAAGAAACCCTTAGCCCGTAAGCCGACACCCCCATCAGTAAACACTGAACCTACAGTGTACAGCCCTTCCTGTCCCGTCCCGTGCAACTGCCAGCCCTCGACCCTAAATCCAATCCGAAAGCCTCAATCCCGAAAAGTTCACAAGATCACATGC